ATGTCATAAACCTACACTATGTATAATGAAAAGCAAGAACAAATGTGGGCAGGTGCCTAGTACAGGAGTCCTGACAATTGGGGCAAAGGTTCAAAACCAAACACACTTCCCCCCTTTTCTAATGAAAATAACAGCCCTGAAGATCAGCCATAGTTGGGTGGGGTTCCATCAGTGTCCAGGCTGCCCACAACAGTTCCCAGGCCATCAGCACGGCTCTGTTAATGCTGGATCCCTTTCTGCCAGGATACCTGTTCAATCAATGAGGACTATGCTGCACACCCCACGATTGGTAAGCAAAGCCAAGACACACATATCTCTAACCACTCTGGGATATTCTTCACAATGCCACTGTGCATTGTTTTAAATACTACTGTGTTTTCCTTTTCAAGCAGTCGCAGGTCAGCAATGTTTTCTTTCTCTTGGTGCAATGACAAGAAACAGCAGAGTTCAAGAAATAAACATGCCCCTGTTTTACTGGCTTTTACCTTGGAAAAATAGCAGGAAGGTCCCTTAGTTATGCAGTCACAAGACTACTCCAGACTGTTTTATTCTTTCTGTACACTCACCTAGCCCCTTATCAAGACTTCCATGCTGTTTCCTGGCTTTTCCATATAGCGATTTCATTTTAAATATAATATTAAAAAGCCTCAGTCTTCCAAAACCTTTTTCTTGTCCAGTAAATTTTCTGCCATAAAATAAACAGTCTTCAGATTTAGGACTGGTTCAGTTATTTATTGAAGTATATGTGAAAATGACTAAACTCGAGCAAATGAGATATATTAGAGAGTTTGTCACAAGGTCTTCCGAAGGATCTTTTACAATATTCAACATCTACGCAACACTTCCCTGAAAAGGGCGTGAGCATAATTTAACATGAAGCGTAGCTCTGCAATAACAGTTTTCTTTTCCCTGTCTGACGTGTGATAGAGTTACAAAAGAAAACGGATTTGGAACAGGTGCCGGTTATACAGTGGAAGCAAGAAGACTCTGTGTCCAGCTTCTGTGACCTTGTGACCCTCAAGGGAGAAATCCGATTCCCCTGCGCCGACTGGCACACTCTCCTTCGACTCCAGGAGCTCCACTGGTCTGGAGAGTGGGAGAGAGAAAGTTCCCTCGTACTCGGATGTGCTGAAGGTTAATTGTTTTTTGTGTAATTCCAGTAATTGTTGCACGCCGCAGAAGTGCTAATCTGCCTCTGGCATCTACTACAGCTGTTACCCAGGCAGAGGATTAAAAGAAAGCACAGCCCTGAGATCAGCTCTTGCATGGTCTTGCAGTCTGTGCTAGCCTGAGTTTCTGAGAGCCCCTGGACTCATTCTCTGTACTCAGCCAGGGGGGCTACAATCTAGTCTCCCGAGCTGGCAGGGTTTTCACATTTGTGGTCGGACTTCAGAGCTCACTTTTTACTTCAACTTTCACATTTTGTTACAGACAGCTTTCGTGGAAATATGTTTTTACCTTTGCTTTCACCTCAATCACATTATTTCACTGTATTGTACAACAACAAGCTTTGATTGTTTAAAAGCAACCTTTTATTTTATTTACAGTTTTTTTTAATGTAAGTAAAGGTAAAAAGGTAACACCATTTGTAATGATTCAGAAAAATTATAAAATGATCTACTTGATGGAGGTAAAGGTACAGTTGAAATGTTTTAATGCCTAAAAAGCAGTGTTAAATGATCCAGCTAATTTTGTGTTTAGACCATTGTGTTAACTAACCAGCTTAGATTGGATCAACAGGCTAAATACACTGTAGCCCCTCCACCCTAAACTCTCTTAAGTTTGCTTTCACGTAACAATCAAGCCACAAGAGAACTGAGATTCATAGCCTCTGATACCGTTCTAGTGATCAACAGCAATCAGACTGAAAATGTGGCTCATTCTCTCCCTCCTTAGATTTTCCGCTACAGAAATTAGACACCCCCCATCTTGAAAGACAGCGAGACGTCTGTCTTTTCCTGATCTTGTCAGATCTCAGAAGCCAAGGGGAAGTTGTTTGCTTCGATTCTTCTAGCTTCGATTGTTTTCAAAAGCTACATACATTTGGAGCAGGACAAGAAGGGAGCAGGCTGTAGTCAAGACCACGCTGGCAGGCCTAAAAGGGAAACCAAGTTTCAGTTTGCCGCTGTGATTAGTGTTGGTGGACCAGGAGGGGGCGTCTTCCGACTGGACCAGAATGACCCAAAGCTCCAGTAAGACGACAGGGGTCACTGTGCTGTAGCAGGTGTCGCCCACCAGGTGAGACATTCAGCCTTACTATTTGGTCCTGAACGATGGTACCGTTCAAAAGAGTAGGGGGGTTAAGTTCACTTTCTGGGGTAACTTCCACTGTGCGCATGCATAACCTGCCCTTCCTAAAGTTTCTCCTCCATTCAGTTAGTGAAGCACATTCTCGCTCCTCAACCTGATCTGCTAGTGCAGAATACCTGTCGCGCGTCAACTGCGCTTCAGCGGGTCTCCTCCTATACAACAGGTAACGCGCTTTGGGTTCAAACGGGTTGAGAGCCAAGCAAAATCTGTCCTGCGCCTCTTAACATAACTCAGCAACGGCAGGACACATTCAGACAAAATTAAATGATTTATGACTATCTCTTACGTACACTACCTGATCACTGCGCAACACCTCCTTCCGCTAAACTTGGAGCCTAACGAGGCAAGTCTGGAATTTCAGTGTTCTGCTGTAACGGAACAGTGGTTAAGTGCTTAAATGTGTCAAAAGTACATTTTAAATACTCCCCATCATTACGCTGTAATATTCCCAGCCTCAGGGTTTGAATTTGTCCCTGCAGCGAAAACACGTTGACAAACGGAGTACAGAGCACTGATTCTTGACAACTTGCCGGGCAAAAGTAGGGAATTTCTTTCATTCACTGTCAATCACTGGTCTGGAGTGGGCGCGTCTATTTTCCTTTTTGGACCAATCAGCAAACACGGTGGGCAGGACTCTAAAGGACAGGGAACCAATAGGATGCCTCTGTTCCTGAACTTTTGCTACTCAGAGCAAGTTAATGCATCAGGGGGCGTGGCCGCGCCGGACTGACTCCGCTGGAAGCACGTTAACTCTTACGGTGCCAAGATGCTAACTCTAATATATTATTATTATCAACAATATTATAATGATAACACGCGGTAATAAAACAATAAATCGAAGATTAAGACCCGATCGAGTACTTCCTACACAGCATATGGTGGCTGCTTTTCAATTCAGCGCAATTTACGAGCTGAGATAAGTTGCAGGAGCAAGTATTTCCCCCTGCACAGGTATTGCAACCACATAATTTGAAACCAACACTCCATTAAGAGAGTGAAATAAAGCTGAAAGGTTTATTATCAATGACTTCTACAGGTGAATGAACCCGAAAATGGGCTGTATTCATGGAATACCACGTGACTTTATTAAACCTCTAAATGGCATGCTTTATAACTGCGTTAAAAAGGGGGAACACCGTGTCAGAAAGGCCTAAGACTAGATGACCACATGTAGACTAAAATGTTTGTTGGGTTTTTTTTTTTTTTTTGCAGTTTTTTGTGGATTTTCTGAGCATCTTGGCAGGTGGATCAGGAAGCTGTATATCAACAGCATCATACGGTATAACCGAAGTGAGCAACACAGTGAAGGCGAGTTCAACTGGAGTCCCAGAATGTCCACACAGAACGTACAGACCCGAGCTTCGACAGGCCCCCGGAACATTCCATCGTGATTCCATTCCAGAGAGCGAGCGGAGCTTCTCCTGTGGCCGCTCGCTGATAGGCACAACGCGAGGCTAAGTCCTGCAACCCCTCACGACTGCCCTCCCTTGACACGGAACCTAAAGGTTAGTTGCAACAAGCTAAAACTCCAAATAATGGTACTAAGTCGTTGGCGAGTGAAGATGCTTTCATACATGTCCTCTTAAAGTCGCTGCTGCTTGAAATCACGACTGTTGGTGTAGACTCCCGAGGTGCACCACCACATTAAAAGATTAGAGGCCGTTCTGTAAATAAAAACGTGGACGTTACGCCTTTAAGAGTTAAGAAACCTGAAACCTTGTTTGCGCAACAATCAGTGCAGCTCGCAGCCGCCAAAGTGTCTAGACTAGCACATGACGGGAGGCAGCCAATGGCTCTATCCCTTTCCTCGGGGGCCCCGTGTGTGTGTGTGTGTTTCAGAACAAGAAAAGAGAGAGAGGGAGAGAGAAACCGAGGAAGAAAGAATTCTAGGGTGCAGTTTGACCAGATCTGAACACGGAGCCGAGGACGCGCTTAGAGCGCACGGATTGTTTCCACACCGAGCTTCAGACCTGCGAGGCTCTTGTCTGGATTGCGAGTGTTTTTAGTCTCCTGGAAAAAAAAAAAACAACCCACCGGGATTGTGAATTCTGACAGGATTTTCTTGGGATTAATCTAGCCAACGGAGCAGCTCCATTCATGTGCCGAGAGCGGCTTTGAAAGGAAAGATCTGAAGGTGTTTCAAAGTCCAAAAAAAAAAAACAGAGCGAGCGGGGAACGCATGTTTCTCGGGTTCTGCCGCAGTCCTCGCACTGGTGCTTACTACTCTCGGGTACATTTTTTTTTTGTCCACGGTCATGAGCACAAAATAATAATACAGCATCACTTGAGAATCCTTGCGAAAGCATTGAAGTCACTTTCAGCTAAGGATGATTCTGTTTCCATGTGAGAAAGATTCTTAGCAAGTGAATGCATTTCGAATTCAATGTTACAGTGCATTCTGATAACCGCTTTGCAATATTTTTTTTTTTGCAAGAAACGTTATTGTAGCCCCCTAAGCTAATGTTGCAATTCTGTTGCAAATATACTGCATTAAGCTGTGCATTCATTGCACGGCATTTGCGAAAGATGAATGTTTGGCGACGACCTTAAATCAGATTGGAATCTCATTTGGTCTGAACGAGAATAAAAAAAAACGAAAACTAAGATTTATAAATTGTCGTATGTTCAGGTCCAAACGCTCAGGGCTTGTGCGGCGACTCTGGAGAAGCCGTTTGTTGATTCCAGATAAGGAAGGGGGAGATGGATGTTGCCGAAACAGCGAGGGGGTTCGGGACGGTCTGTGCGGTAGAAGCCCAGAGAAAAGTCCCGAAACGGAGCGCAGCCCGATGACCCGAGCGGGGTCGCCCGTGGGAAACCCCGGCAGAGCGTCTCCCGCCGACCCCGCGGAGGGCAGCGGCAGCTCTGGGGGCGCCTTGGACCAAGATGGGGGTGCTGCTCTGCCCGTCCGGGATCAGGAAAGCGCCAGGTCTGCGCAGGAGAGTGAATGCAGGACAGTGACGTGCTGTTTGTTTAAAGACCGGGACCACTCCGGAGCCAGGAGCCCAGACTCGGCTCGGGATAAAGAGCCCGGCTCCTGCCAGCTCCCGCTGCCTCCGCGGGACGCCGGTCTTTTGGGGAGCCAGGAGTCGAAACACGCCGAGCAGGAACTCAAGGCGGCCACCTATTCGCTTCTAAAACGGCTGAAGGAGAAGCCGCTGGATGCCCTGCTGGAAGCGGTGGAGTCCAGAGGGGGGGTGCCCAGTGATTGCGTGATGGTGTCCCGCGCGGAGCTGCGGCTGGGAGGGCAGACGGCACCCCCTCAGCTCCTGCTCTGCAAGCTGTACCGCTGGTCCGACCTGCAGCACACGGCCCAGCTCAAACCGCTCTGCGAATGCCAGAGCTTCGGGGTCCCGGACAGTCCGTCCGTGTGCTGCAACCCCTATCACTACAGCCGGCTCTGTGGGCCAGGTAAGAGACCGGGAGCCGTGTGCTTCTCTCGCCAGGCAGGCTTCGCTCTCGGTTACAGTCCCACGCCAGGAGCCACGGGAGCTCCCTGCAGAAATCTGGAGTGGACCGTGGCTGTCAGTGGTTAGCTCTGTTTCATGCGCATCTTGGCTGCAGTTGTCTAACCTCTATGGAGGGAATTTGTGAGTTGTTGTTTTTTTTTATTTTGGGAGGGGGCGGCTTTGAAGGGGTTGTGTATTTTTAGTGGACTGGTTAGGATGCCCACTTGTCTGTCGATGTAAGGTCTGCGATATTGTATCAGTGTTCTTCAGTGGGGTGTTTGATTTTGATTTTGAAATTTGATTTCTGCACTTCCTTCTTGCAGTTTTAGGTCATAGTGAAAGATTTGAGCTCCCAGATTAAAAGTGCGTTAATACTATGATTTGTTTTGAACTTGACGGAATAGCAGTCCGTTTCGCGAACCTGTCTCGCACTGTCGTGTCAGTAGACGCCGGGAGAAGAAGTGATCAGGGAGCTCGGCTTTGGACCGCAGGATAGCGGGCTGTTTCTTTGATGGGATGCTGCTGTTGTACCTTAGAACAAAGTACCTGAGCCGGATTGCTGTGGATACCTGGTAAAACAGGAATGTAAGAACGATACATGTTCATTGGCTCAGGTGCGCTATTCTTCCACACTGGATGGCTGAAGGAATGCGGTTGTCCTGGGGTATTTAAATCTACTGAGAAGGAGTAGCTAGGATGAGTTTAATCTGTTTGTTTTTTCCGGGCATAAATTGAAATTGTTTTTCGTTTTCGTCAAATTTAAAGATGGAAATCCATCAGAGAGAATGTAATGTGGCAAAGAGGTGAAATGTTTGTCCAATTGCAATTTGAAGTACATTTCCTCGGTCCAGCAGAAGCTAAGTTTTGAAAATATTGATGTCGGTCTTCCAGTCAGGGCTTTCCGTGCGAGAAGGATAAACATCCCCTTAATACAACGGGCCCTCGCGTTGTAAAATGACTTGTTTTATGTAGGACGTCTGGGAGTATATTTACTCGGAAATCGGACAAATGCATACCTTGTAACCCGAGAATAACGCTATCTGTATCACATCCGTAACTTTTAGGTGAAGAGAAAATTGAGTCCAGACGACTGCACTGTCATTTGGCCCCCGGATTAGGAAACTGGCTACCCAAAGAACTCCAAATAGGTTAATTTAATTTAACAACTACCCGGGTGCGATTGAAGTCTTTCCAGAGGTGACTTAATGACCAAGCACGCAAACAAAAGACTCCGGTGAACAATTTATAGGGTGGGGTTCGGCGGGTGCAGTTAAAATCTTCAACTCGCCCTGTAGTGCTTAAGTAAAAAAAATATATATATGGTGATTATATTGTAAAAATAATCCAATAGCATAATAGAAAATCGCGAGAAGCTATTTAAGTTGAAAAAAGTTGAAGAACTACATTCATTTTAAAAATGCATTGGTATTTAGAACAATTTTGAAAGCGAGGCATACTGTCAATCAACGTTTGCGGGTTTTGAAGACACATCGGAAACCTAATGTATGGAATGAGAAGGTGGGAGTGTGCACTGGAGCAGTTTTCATCTTTTCCATTGGAAACATTGCTAATAACATTTCGATCTCGGCGAAGGAGCCGTGCAGAATGATTTTAACTTGAAAATAGGGGAATATGGGAATAAGTGAATGAACTGTCGTGCTTTTGTTCACTTTTAGACAGGAGCTAAAAAAAAAACTTTTTAGCAGCATATTATTTTTTCTTCTTCTGGGGGGTCAAACGCGATGCGCATTTTATTAAACAATGGAAATTCAATGAAGCTTCCCGTGTTTAGTTCCTTGTGTCCAGGGCCAGAGTATGAAAAGGAACAATTATTGGTAGAAATATGTGATGGGTGTCTTTGCATCATCACATCCTTCAGTGACGCCACTTCTGTCATGGAAATACACGAGCGCTTCGCCCGACCGAACCCTCTCTGTGTGTCTCCTGAGGTAAAGGTATACAGCCGACCTGCCACACCACAGGTAATACTGGCAAAACATTTACCTCCAGTTTTACATTCTCATTTGATGTCTTCCTAATACGTACACCAACGCAGTGGAATTTCCAAATGAAACCTCAATCTTGCAAAACAAAAACTAATTTCAGACGCTGGGGAGACCAGGAGACAGTCTTCTCTTTCAATTGGACGTTTGTTCCATTTCTCCAATAAAGTTCTACCGAATAAAGAGTGGCGGAAAATGCCTTATGAATATCTCCCTCCCCTGTGTCTTGGGGGCGTGAGGTGCCCTGGTCGAGGCTGGCCGACATGACCTCCGTTAACATGTGTGGAATCGCGTGTGAAGGGTACAGCTCTTGACTGTTGAGTTTGATCTCTCGGCAACATCCGCGTTCTGAAAAACTAGTGGACCTTGACTTGCACATCAAAGCCATCATGTAAAGAGATTCAAGATATTCCAATTAAGTGGAGCAGATATGAAGTTTTTTTTTGCTGTTGTAGAAAGTATGTACCGATCTGAATGGTTCAAGATCTCATTTTTGTCTACAAGTCTGCACAAAAGGCGTCCACGTTTTGCAAAAAGGGAATATGCTTTGAAGGAAATAGGAAAGGGCTCGTACTTTTGATCATTAGCCCAAATCTTTGAAACGAAATAATTTCTCTCTTTTTTTTTTAAATCTCTCGTCCCGTATAAATTGCTTTTTTAAAAAAAAAAACAGAATCGATACCCTCCCCCCTCAGCAAAAACTTCAAATTCCGATGAGGCTTTACGACCGCGGGACGGCACTTGGTGAAATGGTCGGTCAGCCCAGCTGTAGTTCACACACTCCTAACGTGTTCTCGCATAAATACGAAACCGAGTTGTTGTTTTAAAACACCTCGACTACAAACGGAGGCGATGAACTAAAGGTGTGTGTGTGTGAAGTACCGTGTATTTGTGCAGGGGAATAATTCCACATTCTTAAGTTCTGAAATCATGAAGCGAAGTCTATTACTGTTTCTGCACTGGGTTGTTTCCTTTGAAAACGTCTTGAAATGATGGGCCGTAATATAAATTAATATGGATGTTGATTGATTTATTTTTACAGAAGGGGTGAAAGATGCCCTTTGAGACGAGCCCCTCCACGGGGCTAAATTAAAATGTAATGAAATGAGAGCGTGTCTTCTAAAGCGTCCGTGGCCAGCCTTACGGTCACGTTTTGAAAGGAATCCGCAAATCCAGTTGTTAAAGTACCTAATTTTTTCGAGGGGCTAGGGAGGGGGGCTGTGAATCGCAGAGTTCAGGCGGAGTGCTGGGTGAGTTTTCGCACGTGTTTCAGGGGGAAAGGGGGTAGCACACCCCCAAACTAGGGCTCCAGCTCGCAATGCGCATAGCGCACACGCGCTCATGCGTGTCGTGAAGAAGATGGTATTTCTTCTGATGTCGCTGGTGCAATGTCCATACTAAACCTCCCATAATTGCTGTTCGTTTATTTACAGTTTCCTTACAGTCGTGGCTTACTGTGCCATTTTAAACTCACTTTTTAGTTTGTTTTTTCCCGATGTTTCTTCGATCTCCTTCTCTTCTAAACACGTAGCGTGTAAAGAAAGCACATTCTGCACTTGATCCTGTGTTTGGCCGTGACAGGAAAAAGTTAATCATTGGAGGGCAATACGCATTCAGAAGGATCTATATAACCTGTTTACTGCAGTGTAAAAATGCGCTGCGCTATTAGGTTCAAATGACGGCCAGTTCCGATTCCAGATTCTTCCAATTAAAAAAAAAAAGATTTCCTTTTCTACACAACAACGCTCTCTAAATACATACACTGGCCAAGTTGGAACCGAAAACTCTAAAACTAGTCTCAAAAGTATCCCCTTGAAAAGTTATTCTTAAACAGGCAATGTGTAAGTTTGTGCTTTTGTTTTTGACGATGATCGCCATCTAGACGAGTAAATGGAAGTTAAGCGATCGTCTGAAAAAAAAAAACATAGGTTTGGTTAGGCGAAGAGAGCTAGGATTTAAATAGACAAAAAGTTTTTTTTTCCCTTCTTTTATTTGGCTAGGCATTATCCCTTTGAAATGAGATCAGTTTCAAGTTGCGCTTTAAAAGCTCTCTTTCCTAAGGAGGTCCCCTCGTGCTATTTAGGTGAAGGAGTGGCGGTAATATACAGTTTGCATACTGCTGGCGCCAGACTGACTAGCTCAGTATCTCAGGGACTGAGCTGGGATCCGCCGCTCTTAAAGAACCCGCCGCTCTTAATGCGTTTTTTAACTTCTTCCCTTTGGCGAAGTGATGGCGTTTATCCAAAGTTTTTTTTTCCACCCCTTTCCACCCCTTTCTTTCTCTGTTTGTTTCCGTCTCTCCCGCTTTACTCTTGTAAACTTGAACTTCTCTCGAGAACAGAATACCGTCGTCTTCTCTGGAGTGTTAAATGAGTGTAAAACAATATGTTGTGTCTTTTTTTTT